TCGACAATATGCGTTTTTGCTGGCTGTAGCGCTGCTATAGCGCTGCGCAGCAAAAACGCATAAAAAAACGCACCACATTCAGTACGGCCTATACTAACCAGTAGAACTAACTTGATCGTATTCGGCCCGAATATCACGGATTGCAGAAGCCAGTTCATTTTTGAAGAATTCCCGATTCTCGGGCGTTGTATCGCGAGCGGCAAGACTTTGCAGTTCGCGGATCTCCTGCTCATGAACGCGCCTTATGAAGTCGATCTCTTCTAGCAGAGTTTGCACTTGATTTTGATAGTCGATGCGGTTTAGCGTTTCTTGGTCCACATCCTTCAATAAACCACGCAAATGACTTACTGCTACTCGTCAGTGTATTGCGTGACATGCGTTTTTGAAAAACTCTCGCAGCGCTCGTTTCCCTTGTTTACCTCGAAATTCAAACATTTTTATCGTTTTAATGGGCTGTTCAATAATTTTGTTTCGGGATGCTGTGTAGCAAAAATATACTGATGGTGTACATAAGATATTAGAAAAATACTAAAAGAGTTTAAAAAATTTAAAAAAATGAGACGGGCAGGAATATTTCTATCCACTACGTCGCATGCATTCATATTCAGCATCACGACTGGACCCCACCACTGTGACGGTTGTGATGGTGTGAATAAGGGGCAATATAAATATAAATGCGCATAAGGGAGTACATTTTGAATATTTAAAGATAAATGTGTTTCTTTCTGTTTTTTTTTTTTACATTTTTTCAAAACGTGGAATGTTTAGCTCGTAATGGAGTATAGTTAAGCTTTAAAAAACTGAAATCTCATTACTCGTGCAGTCAGAGCGTTACTTTTTAAGTGAAAGATATCTATTTGGAAGATTTCAAAAAAAGAAAAGCATGCAACAGTTTTATTAAAAATGTTGGGTCCACGAGGAGAATTGGCCGAAATCTGAATACTTTGTTATAAAATAATTTTTCCTGTAAATTATTTGTCTGCGTAATGCTTTCTCTTTTCCACACTTCGTATTTAATCTTTAATTCTTTAACCTTTATTACTGCTGTTCTCTAGCCACCCCCTAAATATTATTCCTTATTCTCACTTTTAGGGCGAAGAATCTTCCGCTGTCACAGCACTGGGCAACATTAACGAGAGATGAAAGATTAGGCGGGACGGGAGGATGGGGAACATGATATTGAAAGGCAAATTTTATATTTCCATAAGTCCTGCAAAACTCGATTAGAAATATTTGACTATGATGTGGGAAAAATGATGGTGCCTGGACAAAGCAAATACACTTTGACAGGTGCCAGCATGCCGCTCTCACACTGTGTAGCATTTTGCCTCTGAGTATTTACTGCCTGTAGAATGACCAGCACAGACCAACCAGTGACAGGAGAGGGTCCGGCGCATTCAACTGAGGTCAGGAATTGGCGTAACGAATTGGCAATGTAACAGCAACACGGCTACGATTTTTGGAAGAAAGCAATTTTGACCTGCTCAGAGGGAAGAAGGAATGGGGAGCACTGGCAAACCAAGGGAGCAGTGAAGGGGAGGGGCTGGAGGAGGGGAAGCGAGGAGGCCCTTCCCTCCCAGAGTGTTAGGTAGCAATTGTTTTACTGTACAAAAGTTTACTCGATACCCCTGTTGCCCCTCCCCCCCTCCGCCCCAGGTGACCGCCCTGGATCCGTTTATGACGGAGAGGAACAATAAATTTTTAAAGAAGTTTTTCTCCTTAAGGCAGCTTTAAAAAACGCGTTTCTTGCTCATTAGTCGATATTTTAGTAAATACATATTTCCATATAATAAGTATAACATATACAATAAACTTGACAAAAATAATGAAGAATTTTCTTTGATACTGCAGTACTTATTATATATGAATGAAAGCTTATTTCAGGACGTAAAATGACCGACTACACGCTTTCTCAGGAAAAGAGGAATTGCATTTGCTTCGAGTCACGTTATTGATTTAATTCGAACCGTTCGAGTTCTTTGCAACTCTCCGAGAAGACTCTGATTGTCCTTTTTGATGCGCATCACCTCTTCTTCCAGTTCCGTGATCCGACGTCTTAGCGCATTTATATCAGCCTCAATTTGTGCTAGCTCTATAAGCATAGTATCGATTTTGTTACTGTCCAAGTCGCGAGCTCGTAATGCATCCTCGTATCTGTAACCGGATCTTTGAGTCGGTCATCCTCGAAAAACAGCACATCTCGTTCTATGTAACGATGTACATCTCGACCGTTTAACACTGCAGGCCCTGATGTCCATCTTGAAACAGGCGGCACTATATGAATTCAAAATCAATACTGACTGAAAACTCACTCGAAAAAAAAAAATAGAAAAAACGAGCGACTTCTTATAACAATAAAAGTGCGATGGAAAAAGCGAGAAAGCTGGATTATGGTTCGTGCTAAGTAAACATGAGGTACAGAACTTTCATCGCCGAATATGACATTTATGGCATATCGAACTAGCGGTGGCGCTGAAGCGTTCTAGACTATATGCCAACTACGGTACACGTAATTTTGATGAAGAGGATTTGAAAAAATATTAGGAATTTGAGAAGAATTTCCAAAATTTCAGTATCAAATTCCTTGAATTTGCTGCATGAATGCAAACCTCTTGCGGTACTCAGACAGCTCATCTTGCATTCTGTGAATTTGTTTTTCCAGATCATCACGTTGTCGAGCTGTGTCATTGATCAGTTTACGAGCTTCCTGAAAATCACACTTTTTGCAGCTAATAAATACAAAAGCTTTGTATTGTGTGTTTTTATCGCGGAAATTCAATTGCAGCAAAGCTGGAATGAATTTTTTTTTTTTTTTGGAGGCACTGGCGATGAGTCCAGGAGTGCGAAGCCCTTTGAATTCCTGACCTAGGCATATGTACGAATCAGTCTTTCTTTCAGAACTATGTTTCAATTATTACAGCAGGCCAAATCATGAGACTGCGCCTGACAGAACTTTAAACTCCAGTTCCACGGGTACGATACTAACTTCCATATTTTCCCTACTTCTATGTGCGAAGCCGCGGGCAGAGTTCTCTCGCTCCTTTGTTCGAAATTCAGACCCATAGCGCACATCTAATGTTGCTGTGCACGGTAAAAATTTTTGATAACGAAGTTCTCCTCAGACGCAAAACCAAAGATTTGGAATTCACTGTCGGTTCATGGGCGCGCTGCATGTGAAATAAAGTAACACGTGATAAATGCATGCTTACACTCTTAATTCACGTGCAACTACAGTGAACGAAGCTTGCTTAAAATAAGTAACTGCAAAAAAAGTTGTGTCGGCTCGGAACGCGATCAGTTCTAAGCCATTTGCATGGACGACAACGATGAGCACATATTATTTCTGACAAAATTTGTATGACAAATGTGTGTTAAAGTGTTATGTGCTTACGGCAAGCTCTCCTTCGTACATCATTTTGATGTTGAATGTGTCTTTTCCCCATTTACCACGCAGAAGATCGAGGTCTGCGGCCAGTTTTCGATTCTGTGCCTCCAGAAAACGCACCTGCAAATTGCTTTTGCTTTACTCGTTCTAGTATTATCAAACTTGCCGTGGCCGGCTTTTTAAAACCAGGAGGAGCGAATTCTGGTTGTGAGGGCGTACTGT